TTTTTGTGATCCAGCTCAAATTAAATGGTTTAAACAAGTGATATGTTGGCTTTTAACTAATATGGTTAACATGTATCCAGATCAGCTTATTTAAAGTAGCTAACACATGAGGTTTTATCATGGCTGACAGGAAGGATACGATGAATCCATACACAATCAGAGCACATACATTAGGAGAAGCTGATATTAAGATGTTGAAATTAAGTTTACACTTAAAAGTGTATTCATGGCAATTGTATAGTTTAAAACATAAAAGTGTTTAAGATGTGTTTTCTGCAGTTGTTGTTTTCAACAATGGTTTTAAAATCCCAGTTTCTTTCAATGTAAATTTTGCATAATGTAGGCGTACAGTGATAATAGGCAAAACAAAAGTTAATTACCTGTTYTATTATTCTTGTCTCTAAAAACCAACTGTATTTTATATCAGTCTGTGAMATCTGTATATAAGTTCTACTCATCAAGGCAAATCGATATTCTTCATTTGATCAAAAACAATAACACTGTAATATCATAACTTAGTTTTTATTAATTTAGCAATGATATAAATATAATAAAGCTTTTATTTACAGTGAAATATATTGTATTAATAATATGTTGCAAACAACCCCAAACAATGCTGCAACTGTCCCCGGCCACCGGGTCAGTTGCAGCATCTGACTTTTCATTTTCAAATGCAAATTGTGAAGAAAGTACATTTTTTAATCATCTATAAATGGTTTTGACTGTTAACAGACAGATGTAAGTTTGTTGTATTAAAATTTGATTCAATTCAAACCATCTCTGAGTAACAGAGTCAAATGCAAAATGTGTTGCAGCTGTCCCCGGTCTCCCCCTCATCACTCAGGTGTGGGTTTATAACAGGTTCATTCTGCATTATTGGGTAAGTTTTTTTTTTTGTAAAGGCCAATTTATATAAACCTTGATGGTTTTATTACAGCACTGAAATCATAAAACAYTGAATGGGGATTAATTGTGTGTCTATTGGTGTTGGGCATAAAAACTGTCATTAACTCTCAATATTTAGATTAATGGCAATAAGTCTCATCGTGCACAAAATTAAATTATGACTCAAAGACACGGAAAGATGTTTGGATCATATTTAAAGTATGTTATAAAAAAAAGTTCAAAATTTTTAACAAATGATCCAGTCTTGCATTGAAGGCAGTGGTGATGGATGTAGCAATCCCAAATGACTGACATCAGGAAGGAGCACGAGAGGCTCGAGAAATACCAAGAGCTGAAAGAGGAAATACAGAAGTTTTGGAGAGTAAGAATCAGTAATCCCAAGTAAGTCYCAAAAAATAATTGATTGTTTTTCTGGTGATTAATTGCRCACAATACGATTATACCCAACCCTAGTTTGAAGTGAAGTGGAACCACCAAAGTGGTTGAGCTACAAGGCTTTACAAATAGTTACTGTAGTTTTGGCTTTTATTCTTTGTTGGTTTATTGGATTAAATTGTAAAAAAAAAAAGGTTTAGACACTAATTCATATCCTTCCTGACCAACAGATCTTTGACACATTAGACCAAACAGATGTATGTGTTCTTAAAAGAACTTCTCTATATGAGACAAGTAAAAATAATCAAAAGTAAAACTTTTTATTTGACAGATGGTTCGCCTGCAGAAACAGAGTACATGTTAGATGTTAAAAACTAATAAAAAACCGAATATGGGAAAACTGAACCATTTGGTGATGAGATGTTTAAATGGACAATTCCAAACTGCTACTTACTATATAAAACAAATACGATAAAAACGTGTAGGCCTGTCACGATAACAAATTTTGCTGGGCGATTAATTGTCTCACAAATTATTGCGATAAGCGATAATATTGCCTGGTGACCATTTTACAACTAATAATTATAAAAGCGTAAT